AGGATTGTAAGTCGCATCAGGCCGAGAAAAACGAGTAGACTCCTTGCCGCGACGGATTTGAGGATGCTTGTATTTGACGGTCTTCTTGCACCAAAAGAAAATCTAGTCGGTTGCGCTGACACCACGTCAACCTTTGTCACGGATGCGGAAAAGGTGGTAGGCCTGCAACAGTTATCGGAACAAACAGGGAACCAGCTTCCTATCTTCTTTACTTCCGTATAGCTCCTTTGCGTTTGGTCCCATCTCGTCGTAAAAAGAGCCAAGTATGGGGAGGCCCGCCAAGGACGCCAAGTCACGGAGAGAGATCGACACTTCACCGGTGGCAATCAAAAGGGTGTTGGTTCTAGGACACCACACCTCGCAAACAGCCTTGACGATCTCCGGATAATAGTTGTAGGAGAACAAAGAAGTATAGACCGCATCGTACATCCTCCACCCATTCCCAATAGCCAGCCACATAAGAAAAGTTGTCATCAAAATAAGGAAGACCATTCCAAGTGCACGCCCCCTCTATGATTCGGCGCCCCAAGGTTGGAAGTGGGAGAGTATCATTCGGCATGTGTTGATGGAGTGAGGATTGCAGGGTATGCTTTCCACCAGCAATATTCCGAGACCACGTCTTTGGAAAATTTGCAACCTCCAAGCGAGGGCGAGCAGCTCCGCATCCTACAAGTGATGGATGCACTAATAGACGAGTCGCCTTGTCCGATGGTTTACCTTCAAACTCACAAATCACTAACTCTACATTTCTAAAGGGGTACGAGACATCCTTGAAATAAGTCATTTTTCCTACAAAAAAAAAAAAAAACACAAACAAGGATTAAAAAATGAGAAAAAAAAAAAGAACACGAGAAAAAGAAGTCTACACTGGAATGAGAGAAATAAAGTTACGAGAATTTGAGAATGACAAAGTTCTCTCATTGTAGGAGTTTATATAGTGTCTAAAAATTGAGCCATATGGAAATACATGTGTAATGAAAGAAAAAGATAAAAAAATAAAGAAAAAAGAAAACAAAAAAAAAAGAAAAAATAATAATAAGGAAAGAATATATATATATACATATATGATATATGTGTATTAAAAAACAAGGAAAAAAAAAAGAAATAAGGAAAAAATATATATACATATACGATATATGTATATAAAAAATAAAAATAAAAACGGCAAAAAACTCCATTAAAAAAATTTGCAAAAAAAAAATGCAAAAAAATGGCAAAAACAAATAAATTGCAAAAGTGGAAAATGGAAAAAAAAATTGCAAAAAAATTGCTAAAAAAGAAAATGGCAAAAAAAACGAAAATGGCAAAAAACGCCATTAATTAAAAAAAATGGCAAAAAAAAAACGCCGTAAAAAAAGTTTCAGTAAAAGAAGAAGAGACTGACTTGATGTTTCGAGACTCGTTCACGTCTTAAAATGCTTTGCGTTAGCTTAAACAAATCTCGATGGGATATTTTGTAGGCATTAAAAGTTAAATGTCTAAATTAAATTAAATATCATATATATTAGAATAAAATAAAATTTTGATATAATAAATGTGTGATATTTAATTATACACATATGTTAATTTTTGTACAATAAATATTAACCATTTATGTCAAAATCTGCTTAATGGAAGATATCGTACAAATATTACATGCATGAATAGAGCCATAATAAATTTGACAGCAAAATAAATTAATCTTGTCAATAAATGAAGCATATAAATTAATATCTTCCGAAAAATGAAATAGTATAAAGGTCTTGACAAGATATAAAGACACGCAATCAAATCCTTCAAGAATGGAAAACAATATCCGATGAAAAAAAAAAGATTAAATCTTTATGTTGACCAATCAGGACGCGTCACGTGGCACCATCCGAAAAGGAAGCTAAGCCTATCCCTCCTTTATAAATAAGAGTCTTGGCCAATTCATTACACACCGAAGTTCATTTGAAGACTCGCGCAAAGGTAAGTTTCTCTAAACTCTCTGCAATGTTCTTCATTATTCTTCGTGTCCTTCGACGCGTTCTTCGTCGAAAAGTCATCGATTTGGACAAATGATCAAATATTGGTTGACGAATCGATAAAGTTAACGTTTTTCATCGTATGCCCGAGCCGGAGGAAGGATCAAAGCTCCCAAAGTCATCGATAAATCCATCAAAGCCAAGGAAGAGCCTCCAAAGTCCCTCCCAAAGCTTTAAGATGTTCATCGCGTTCGTCATCAAAAGCATCAACTTAGCCCTCTTCAATCCAAAAGTCAAAGGGACACGCCGCCAAAAGCGTTATGGAACACCAAATCTACCTCATCAAAGATCAAATTCCCTCGAATCATCCAAAGTCGACGATCAATGTCGCCAACACGGATACCAAAGCCCTCCAAAAGCCGGCAAACCCAAACCAAAGACCAAATTCCTTCGGATCAAAGAAGTCATCCAAATCCAAGTTGAAAAATGAATTGACTCGGGAAGATAATCAAATTATCCAAATAGAGAATAGAACTCGCATATATTTAAATTAAATGTAATTTGTACGATTTTGTATTTATAAAAATATAACATAATTTTTTTGTCTACAACATTTACAAAAATTGTCATTTTCGTCTGTTGGCCTCACGTGGCCGTGCGTGGGACAACCATTGTGTGACCATCAATCGCGGCCAAAGGACAGAACTGATGACTTTTGTAAACGTGTTAGATATATTTTGCCAACGAGATAAAAAAAAAAACTGATAATTAGTTATACATGGAGGATATTTTTTCAATTTTCTAATGGTTACAGCCACCCATAAGTAACTACATTTAAAATAACTACCAATAACTATCTCGAGCTTACTAATAACTATCTATCATTTACAAGGTTCTAAATAAATATACACAAAACAACCAAAATTTGACTAAGTATGGGTGCAGGAAGACGTCGAGTGTCACCGTCTACATCCGACATATATTCATGTGCAAGTCTCACATACATCCCTTTGCACCTGAAAAAGCGTGTCAGTTGACTCTTGTATGTTAGAAAAATAATTAATGACACGTATCCCTACAAGTTTAAATTTTTAGGTGAGACGATCATTTATATCATTATATGGATAAGAGCCTTACGTTACGTAAGATGTAAGATTTTTTTAAAAAAAAAAAAAATTGTTTGAATGTAATAAAATTTATAGTGTTTTTACACTGTTAAATTATTCAAAATGACATGTTATACTAGGTGAACCATGTACAGATGAATCTGGAGACGTCAGGATTTGAACCCTTGAACCCATAACCTTACGGTTACAAATTTACTCTCCATATCACCAGACCATAATTTACATAACCATTTTTTTGGATGAGTGGAGGAGAGAAGAGTGTGTTTCCATTGCAGTGTTTGAGCATTTCCAATGTCCGATACTATGCAAAGGGAAAATGACGCCAAGCTACCCATGCCATCAGTTTAGCCAATAAGGAAGTTGCACTAAGCAGCCTTTGGTAGTATATTTTCTTTTAAAATTTAAAACATAAAAAAGGGACACGGTTGTGCAAAAACTCAAACATTCATTGATATTTGTAATAGTTATAATTTAATAAAATACATGCAATATGTATGTTATTTTGTAGAAAATATTTTTCATAATACAAAAATTTTTTTTAAAAATAATATATATAAATATAATATAAATTTATATTCAAATCATACCATTATGAATTTTAAAAATTTAAATTTAATACATATTTATATTATTATAGTATTTATTATTTATCAAATCAATACATATCAAAACCCCTCAAATTCAAATCAAATCTACACATAAATTCAACCTTATCTTAAAATTTAAATCCAAATCCAAATTCAAATTCAAATTCAAACTCAATTTTTTCGGGAACCCTTCTAACACAAACACATCCTAAGTTTCAAATACTTCAGCTTATATGAATAGGGTCGGGTCGGGTCGTCAATGTAATTGGGCGGACAACTACGAGCCCACATAAATTAGCGGGCCCTCTGGCAGGCTAATTTAACTTCCACGTGGTATGGATTCATTGGTTAAATCCACGACCTTGAGGAACAGGTGGAAGTCATTTATAGGTTAGTGTAACGTGGGATGACACGCAAGCAGACAGGCGGTCTCTTGATCCTCCCTCCATGGAGAATTCTTTCTGGGGAACCCTCCACGAATGCTTATCAGGGAAGTGATCCAACACTTGGTTTGAATATCCACGCCGTTGTAATCCTTGAGCTCTCCAGCGTTCCCGAGTGCGTCTGTGACGTGCATCGATGATTGTTTGTTGTTTGTAGAAGTTGTTAACGAGTATTCACGGTTTTGAGATGGAGACGAGCATGAAACTGTTTGGCTTCGATTTTTTGGCTTGGAGAGGATTCATATATTCGGTGTTTATCCTCAATTTCGTTATTTTTTGTCAGCTTATCCTCCTTCAACCGCTCGTCGCTGATGTTGGTAGTATTGAATCTTCAATTTTATTTATTTGTGTTCCAATGGGTGACTGTGTTGGAGTGCTAATTGTCTTTGATCCGTTTTCATTGCTTGTCACTTGGTTTTAGTGCTTGAATTCTTTGAACAAGCTGAAAACTTCAATTTGAGCCCTAGCTAGGTTAAAATTAGTTTAGTCCATTTCTGAAAAGTTGAAGGGTATGCTAATTGTAGCTTACAAATAATCAGCTGAACTCTGAATGTAGGTCTTAAATTGTATTGACTAGAGGTCCTGGACATGATATTGAATGTATTTTTAGGAATAGTCAACTGCAGTGTGAATCAAGGCTTTTTTTTTTTGGCTATGAATTCGGAATATAAAAGAGAGCATGTTTTAGGTGTAATGTACTTTGTTCATAATATACACCGAATATTCTCTGTTGATTCTGGTTTATCTGTCAATATTTAGCCACCCTTGAGTGTTATCTTCTTGAATTCGTTCCCAATTTAATGATTAATGCAAGATATATTGCTTGGTAACAACATAGACAGCATTCACTTTGGCTGTAAGTAAAAGTAGTTTTGTTTTTTCATTCTTTGTTCAAAGTGCAGATGGAAAACCTGGTGATGCTGCCGCACTATTTGATAGAGTTTCACAAAGTATAAAGGTGAAGAAATATAGTGAGGCACTTGCTGAACTTAATACTGCTATAGAGGCTGATCCTGCACTTTCAGAAGCATATTTACGTCGAGCATCAATTCTTCGTCAATTGTGCAGGTTTCTCTCAACATATTTAGATTAATATATATATATATGGGGGTGGGGAATGCATATAGATCATTGATTCATTATGTGACTGAACATTAAATATGCATTATTACTATTTTGGAATCAAGTGATAGATATCAAACTCACAAGGACAACATATTGCTTGAGTGAGGTCACTGAGGTGTTTGTGATAAATCAGTGGAAGTAATAGAAAGCAACCATGTATTCCTTCTGCTTTAACTGTATTTATAATTTTGGTGTCAATAGAAGTAAGTAGGTACATGTAATGCTATGTTCAGATGGGTTCTTTTATCAAATTTCTACTTATTTACAAAAAAAATTCCCTTAAAAATATCAAATCAAACATATATTTCTCATTTTCTATATCATACTAAACATCAATTTTATATATAAAACATCACATCACCATCCATTTATATTACATCATACAATTATTCAAATTCCAAATCCAAAGTCCAAGCCCCCAAACAAACACACCCATAACACCTATTTTAGATTTTTCTATGGTACTTGTAGATTTAATGGTTTCAGGTGTGTTCTTTTACTAAAAACAAACCAACACATTTCCCTAAAAAATCAATATATTACACACATTTATTATTGTAGAGAAATATGAGGATAATAAAGTTATATTATACCAACAAGAAGAAAAGGGAAGAGTACATATATATAGCAAATAAGAACATCTATCATAACTAACTAAATCATAGATATGGATATGAATATGGATATAAATATAGATATGAATATGAATTTAATAAATCTAACACTCTCCTCAAGTTGAAGCGTACAAATCATACGATCCAAGCTTGTTGCAGATACATTGGGATCTAAGTCCTCTAAGAGCTTTCGTAAATAAGTCTAAAAGTTGATCATCTGGGGGTACATATTTAGCATCTATATATCCAGATAATACTTTCTCTTTGATGAAGTGATAATCTATTTCGATATACTTCGTTCGTTCATGAAATACTATATTTGATGCAATGTGTAGTGTTGCTTGGTTATCACACCATAACTTAATCTTCGTCACATCATAGAACTTGAGTTCACAAAGTAATTGTTTAATCCAGAGAAGCTCACATGTAGCTAAAGTCATAGCAAGATATTCAGCCTCAGCACTAGGGCGCGCAACCACATCTTGTTTCTTATTTTTCCAAGATATCAAATTGCCTCCAATAAACACGCAATAACCAAAGGTTGAAGGCCTATTGATTGGAGACCCCGCCCAAACAACATCTGAATATCCAACGATTTCAGAATGGCCATGATTTGTATAAAGTAATCCTTTTTCGGGAAACTCTCTAATATAATGCAAAATACGCATTAGTGTCTTTCAATGAAAGTCACATGGAGATTGCATTAATTGACTCAGTACACTTACGGCAAATGATATATATTTGGTCGGGTGATAGGGAGATAATTAGATGCTTGATACTAAAGGAATGCAACATAATCTACTCTACGTAAGGTAATACTGTTGTCAGATGAATTTCCAAGTGAATTAGTAGCAACAACATTGGTCGAGCGAGGGGGTTGTCCGTGTAATTTGAAGCAACGTTCTTGTGTATGGCCCATCTTGTGACAATAACTACATTGTGGACGACGTCCACTACGATCTTAACTTCCTCTCCCATCACGATTTTTATCAAGATTACCGGAGTTAGGATTTTGAGACACCAAGGCTGAACTATCAAGAGATGGGGTAGCCACAAGGGTGTCGCTGCTAGAGGAGAGTCATACTAGTTGAACAAGAACATCATCCAACATGGGTACAGTGGCACCTCCTAGTGTCTGGTCTCGAACATGATCAAGTTCAGGCTTAAGGTGAACAAGTGCTAATACAACAAAGAATTTGTCCCAAGCAACCTCTAGATTTGCAGAACCGGTAGAAATTAGGGAACGGAACTCCTGTCGAATAGCTTCCAATTTACTCGCATAAGTGGGAAGATCAAGCGTGTGATCTTTAAGTAAAACGAGACTAGAAACTACATCATAGTAGCGCTGAATATCATTGTTGTAAATGGAAGTAGCCTTATTCCAAACTTCATAGCATGTCTCAAATGACTGATGCGTGGGAAGTATGGTTGGATTTAAGGAATTCTACAGTAAGGCACATAATTGAGCCTTTGTCCTTTAAACCAAAGTTGTATAGATGCAGCCTATGACTTCTAATTAGATGCACCTCGTAATTTATCGGTAGTAATAAGTTGAAATTTTTGAATTTTAAATAGATCAGCCTTAGAAACAACACTGAAAAATCTCCATGAGAAAAAATCCGGTGGACAATTGGCGGCGCGTGGCGGCGGCGGTGGCGCGTGTGTCTCACGCGCAACGGCGGCTGCAGAAGGCGACGCATTTTGTGGAGAGGAACGCGCCATTGAGGCGCGTGTCTGAAAAACAAATCGTCGGAAAGAAGTCAAAAATGGCTGAAATCAAACCTAGGTCGTCCTCTGATGACGGCATGTGGGGGCGCGTGCGCGGCATACGGAAACTAAGCTCTGATTTTACCTAACCCTAGTTGGCTCGGATACCATGTAAAAAAATAAGAATAAAATAAAATTATACTATACCAAAAAAAAAAATGAAAAATGAAGAGTATATATATATAGCAAATTAGAAAATCTATCATAACTAACTAAATTATGGATATGGATATGGATATAGATATGGATGTGAATTTAATAAATATAACAATTATTTTTATATTACATGTACAATTTTCTATACTTCACATAAAAAAATATTTTTTCAAATTATTTGACAAAACAAACACACCCTAATTCCATATGAAAAGTATAATATTGAACACCGAGGAGAGTATTTCCTTCTATATTGAAACAGATCTATGAACTTTCAAAGTTAAATTCTCAAACTCTGTAATATCAAATATTCCAATTGCTCCTAATTGAAAATCTTAAAAAATCTGTGTTGGTATGTGTTCTCTTATACATGCACAAATGTCTCTTCTTTTGAGTCTTCATCTTAACTTACTACAGTGATGGAACAGTAAATTCAACTATATAGCAAATTTCATTTGGTCACATATTCTGTCCAAATATTTTTAAAATTTCTGTTAAATGGATTCAAATATATTTTGTTCGGTGAACTATATCAATTTGACTTTTCTATCAACTTGGTGATTTTGTTTAATATCCTAATGTGACCCTTTTCACATGAGTAACAAGTCTCGGCCCAAATGTTATATTGTCACTGTTGATTATATGTATTGGATATGGTTCGTAGGTTTGCACCATTGTTAATTACTGAATGATGGATCATAAAATTCAGGAAGTTTTTGGCTAATGTAGATATGAAGAATCTGAAGAAGGCTACAGAAAGTTTCTGGAGATGAAACCTCGAAATTCTGCTGCAGAGAAGGAGCTATCTCAGTTACATCAAGCCAAGGAGTCGTTAGATACAGCAAGCAATCTTTTTGATTCGGGAGACTTTACGAAAGCACTGGAACATATTGAAAAAGTTGTTCTTGTTTTTTCTCCAGCGTGCTCCAAGGTCTGTATCTAAATATTTTATTCTCTAATGATTAAAATAATGATTCTTCTGTTATAATTCTGATTAAAGTTCCTATCTTCTTACTCCACCTGATTGTCATTTGTCGCTGTGCTGTCCTGTTTTGTAGGCGAAACTCCTTAAAGTGAGATTACTAATTGCAACAAAAGACTATTCAAGTGCCATATCTGAGTCAGGATTCTTTCTCAAGGAAGATGAGGATAATTTAGATGCTTTGCTCTTACGAGGGCGTGCTTACTATTATTTAGGCGATCATGATGTTGCCATCAGGTGTGTTTGGAAATGCACACTTTTTTTATTTTTTCATTAAAGATCCACTGAGATAACAAGATTTAGGTAAGCTGATTGATGTTGATGGTGCTATCATTTTTGTTCTTGTTTCTTCCTCAGACATTACCAGAAGGGTCTTCGTCTAGACCCTGAGCATGGAGAATTGAAGAAAACATATTTTGGATTGAAAAATCTCCTCAAGAAGACTAAAAGTGTAAGTCTCGTCCACTTTTACTCCCTATGCTAATTCTTTGTTTCATGGATCTCATCTCAAAATTTGCTATACGTACGGTGCAGGCTGAAGACAATGCAAACAAGGGTAAGCTTCGGTTGGCTGTTGAGGAATACAAAGCAGCTCTTGCCATGGATCCAAACCATTTGGCCCACAATGTACACCTTCATCTTGGATTATGTAAGGTCCTTGTTAAACTCGGGAGGGGAAAGGATGCAGTAACAAGTTGCACGGATGTACTCGATATTGATGGTGATGTAGTTGACGCCCTGGTTCAGGTATGTCATTCTGTCATCTTAATGTCTTTCTGAAAAATTGACTCTCGAAAAATCATGCATCTGAACTTTGCCTTTTTATTTTTTGACTAATTTTTTAGAGGGGTGAAGCTAAGCTTATTATAGAAGATTGGGAAGGAGCTGTAGCAGATATAAAAGCAGCAGCCGAAAAGTTGCCTCAGGTTGGTTTGCCAAGATAGAATTACTTATTAATAACCAGTAGTTTTTCTGGCTAGAATTACAAATACACACATTCAACTGATTCTTACCGAGAGATTGTGCTGTAAGATTGCAGATGTGCAACGCTTACTCTGTTCTTATATTTCTTATCCGTATCATTAGCTTTTGAAAATGAAAATGCCGGAGCTATGAGTCACATTACACTCTTGAATTTACCCGACTTTAGGATTACCTTTACCTTGTCAAAGTTATTCTGATGATTGCACTTTGACAGGACATGAATATTCGAGAAGCTCTAACAAGAGCTGAGAAGGCATTGAAGATGAGCCAACGGAAGGACTGGTACAAGATTCTTGGAATTTCAAAAACTGCATCCATGTCGGAGATCAAGAAAGCTTACAAGAAGCTAGCCTTGCAGTGGCACCCTGACAAGAATGTCGACAATAGAGAAGAAGCAGAAGCCAAATTCCGAGAAATAGCCGCTGCATATGAGGTCTGATTGCTGCTCACTGCTCCCTCCTACGACATTGTGTCCATAAATTTATGGTAACCATCAAACCCAACATTGTGTCCTACATTTCATCATCTTTTCGTTGTCTGCAGGTTCTCGGCGATGAAGATAAGCGCACGAGATACGACAGGGGCGAAGACATCGAAGAGGGAATGGGAATGGGCGGGGGAGGGGGAGGGTTCAATCCCTTCGGCGCTGGTGGCCAACAATTCACATTCCACTTTGAAGGAGGTTTTCCGGGAGGAGGATTCGGAGGCTTTCATTTTTAAGTTGTTCGGAGTGTGTCCTGTTTTTGCTATGGGCTTTAAGTGAGTGAGGATAAAGCAGGTAGGCATTCATAGACTGTTTTTTCCAGCAACATTCATTCAGGTTTCTAACTGATCTTCAACAAGTTCTTCATCTTTAAATTTTCCACATTTTTAGAGTCGAAGAACACAATTTGGAGGTTGTTGATTTAAAGGGTAAAAAGGCAATCACTTGGTTTCATTTTTAGACGTTATGGTTCGCTCATGTACAAATAACTAAGTTTTTTTTTTTATAATTTGAATTTGAATTTTTATTTTTGTGGTCGATCATCCAAATCGAAAATGATGCTTTTTTTCTTTTCTTATTGGTTTGGTTGATGAAATTTTGATGATTTGTGTGTTAGATCATATATATATATTAGTTAGCTTCTTATGTGGGATGTGGCCTAGTTAGTACGTTTCCGCCGTCGACTGCCGCCCGTTGCCAGAACAGGCCGCCTGTATGGTCTGTCTGTTTGTACGTGTGGGTTACACGTTCTGTCTTTATTACTATCGTCTGACCGGGTCGTCTGCCACCGGCCTGCTCGTTGCCGCCATCCTCCGCTGTTGCCGTCACCGTCGCGGGTGGTTCTTGGATAAAAAGGTTTAGGATATTTGGATGAAACAATCTTGTCCCTGTTAGTTTTTCTTTGTCGATTTGGAGCAGTGCTTGATAAATATCAAATGGGAGATAAACTCTTATTGGATGGTGTTTCTATTATTCCTAAAATCACAGAGTATAAATTAAATGGGTCTAAGACCCTCAGGATGTATCTTCGAAACATTGGTAAAATAACTCATTTAGATAAGGATCCTCATTTGGTCATTGATGTTGTTTATGATGATTGATTGAGAGACGACTTTCGATTATTTCTCTATATTAAAAACGCAATTGAAAATGACATTGTGAGTTTAATCACTCACTGTGACACTGTCAAAGTATTTGATCTTTTTATACTCTGGTGAATGCAATGTCTCTCGTGTTTATGATGTATGCCAAAGTCTTCATCGAGCTTAACAAAATGATCAATACTTCAAGCATACTTTATAAACTTTAAAATGAGGAGTTGAACATGCTAATGTAAGATTTCAATTACCTGCTTCTTCATATGTTCCTCAATTATCCGTAGTTGTCCAACGTTTGAGTCGTATGGATATTGGGACTTCTCTTTCTTTTCCATTGCATGCATTGGTGGGTCAGCGTGATGGTACCTCTTCTCGTCAATCTAGAGGCAATCTTCAGGATACTCGTGGTACCTTTATTAGTGGGGTCATTATCTGCTACTATTGTCGTAAGTCTGGGCATACTAAACGATTTTGTAAGAAGCTAAGGAATCGAAATCAGAAAGCTCGTACTGCAAATGTAACCACAAATCGATAACAGACCTCAGATGATTATGATTATTGCATGTGAGTATGTTCGGCTCATTGTGTCCCAAGGATAGTTTGGTGAATTCATCTCCCTCAAGTTATGCAGCTGAATCAGGTAATGTCGATAAATCCCTCATTTCCTTTGCTTTCAAGTGGGTCATTGACGCTGGAGCAACTGATCATATGATAGGTAACCCGAGTCTTTTATCCTCCCATTGTTCTAGTGTACAAGTTACTGGGGTTGGGGTTGCTAATCCTACATCATTTATTACATTGCATTATGTGCTTCATATTCTTGGTCTTGAGTTTAATTTAATTTCTATTAGCAAAATAACACATGCTTTAAACTATTACGCCTCATTCTTCCTTGATCGTTATTTGTTTCAGGACCGTATGACAAAGAGGATTATTAGTAGCAGACACACATTAGGGGGGATCTATATCATCGATATCCCCACCTCTATTGAGTCAGCCTCCCATGTTGCATGTTCGGGTACCAACAATCCCTTTGAAGTTCATTGTCGTCCCGTTCATCCATCTTTGCCCTTGCTATAACAGTTACATCCCGAGTTTCATTATGTTAAGTCTTTAGATTATGAGTCGTGTCAGTTTGCTAAGCTTTATCGAATAGTGTATGTTCTCACGTCAAATAAAAGGTCATGTAGTCATTTTGAATTATTTCATTATGATGTTTAGGGTCCGTGTCCTGTAGTGTCCAAACTGGGTTTTCAGTATTTTGTCACTTTCGTGGATGATTTTTTCAAGCGATATAGATCTATTTTATGAAATCTCGTTCTGACGTATTCACTCATTTCTCTAACTTTTATGTTAAAATTAGAACTCAATTTAATGTTCAAGTTCGTTGTCTTCATAGTGATACTGTCAAATAATACTTCTTTGATCAGCTAAATCAATATATGTTAACATATGGTATGCTTCATCAGTCATTTTGTGTTGATACATCGTCTCAAAATGAGGTAACTGAGCGCAAGAACCGACATCTCCTTGAGACTGCCCGTGCTTTGTTGTTTCAATTGAAAGTCCCTAAGATATTTTGGGTAGATGTTTTTACAGCGTGCTTCTTAGTTAATCATTTGTCATTTTCCGTTTTGATGAGCGCAACACCTTTTCAAACCTTTTTTTCCATCAAAGCCTTTATTTCTTCTTTCTCCTAAAGTCTTTGGGTGTTTATGTTATGTGCCGGATAGTCAGCCACATATTACTAAACTTGACCCTAAGTCTCTTAAATGTCTCTTTCTTGGGTATACTCTCGGGTTCAGAAGGGTTATCAATGTTACTGTCTGGACCTTAACCGCTACTTTGTCTCTTCGGATGTCATGTTCTTTGAGTCTACTCGTTTTCCCTTTGATTTTAGTGCTCCCACTCATTTCTCAAATGACAATTGGTTAATTTATATTGGACTATTCATACTAGACTATTCATTTTTCACATGTTTACTCCCGTCGTCTCAGACAGATCCCCTCTGCAATGTCGCCTATGGCTTCTGCTCCTCCTCGCCTACGGCTTCTGCTCCTCCTCGCCTACTCCGCCTATGGAGTCTCTGTCTTTGCCTTTTGTCGCTCCTGAAGATCTCCCTATTGCCCTTCATAAAGGTAAACGCCAATGCACTTACCTTATTGCATATGTTGTGTCTAGTGATCGTTTATCACATCCCCTTTTTTGTTTATTTATATTTTTGACTCAATATCTCTTCCTAAGTCTATCTTTGAAGCCTATTTCATTCTAGTTGGTCCGCTGCTATGATTGAGGAGATGAATGCACTGTATTCTAATGGTACATGGTTGTTGGTTCCGTTGCCGGTAGAAAAGTAGTCGATTGGTTGTCAGTGGATTTTTGCTATTAAGTTTCACTTTGATGACTCTATTGCTCGCCTCAATGCATGACTTGTTGCTAAAGGGTTATGCTCAAACGTATGGTGTGGACTATGTTGAGATGTTCTCGCCGGTAGCGAAGCTGAATTACATTCGTATATTGATTTCATTGGCTACTTGTCATGATTGGTCATTATGGCAATTTGATGTGAAGAATGTTTTTCTTCGTGGAGACCTCATTGAAGAAGTGTATAGCAGCCTCAGGGATTTGTTGCTCAATAAGAGCGGGGAAAGTGTGTCGCTTGCGGAAGTCTTTATATAGCCTGAAACAGAGCCCTAGGGTATGGTTTGACAAATTTAGCCATGCAATTGAGACTTTGAGATGATGAAGTGCAGATCGGATTATTCTGTGTTTTATCGTCATACAAATTCTGGCATTACTCCCCTAATGGTATTTGTGGATAACATTATTATCATCGGAAACGATATGGATAGGGTCTTAACCTTAAAGGAATTTATTCATTCATAATTTCAGACTAAATATATTGGTGAACTACGATACTTTCTAGGAATTGAAGTGTTTCGGAAAAAGAATGGTATTTTTCTTTCTCAGCGAAAATAAATGCTTGATTTATTAACTGAGGCTGGAATGATTGAAGCTAAACCATCCAGTGCCCATATGACACCAAACTAGGTGTTTATGAAGGAAAGAAAAACTTTAACGGAGCCTAAAAGATATCAACAATTAGTTGGTAAGTTAAATTGCCTCATCCTAACTCGATCGGACATTGATTATCCGATTAGTGTGGTAAGTCAGTTTATGAGTGCACCTACAGTCCAAAATTGGGAGGCTCTAGAACAAATTTTAATGTATTTAAAAGGTACTACATGACGAGCGTTGTTGTACAAGAACTATGACCATAATTGGATTGATTGGTTCTCTAATGGTGATTGGGTTGGATCTAAAGTTGATCGTAGATCAACATCTGGATATTGTGTATTCATGGGTGGTAACTTGATTTTCTTGGAAAAATAAGAAACAAAACGTGGTATCTAGATCTAGTGATGAATCAGAGTGTCGGGCAATGACACATTTTATTTGTGAGATCATTTGGATTCGACAATTCTTGACAAAATTGGGTTTCTGAATCTCAACTCCAACACAACTATGGTGTGTTAATCAGACAGCTCGCCACATTGCATAGAATATTATATTTCGTGAGCATACTAAATATATTGAAGTGGACTATCATTTTATTTCGGGAGAAGATCCAACAATAAGTGGTGGTTACACATTATGTAAGAACATGAGATCAAGTTAGTGATCTATTGACCAAGACTTTACCTAGCACTCGACTAAATGTCTTTGTGACAAGATGAGCATGGTTGATATTTATGCTCCAATTTGAGAGTGTTATACATATTGTTATATGTATCTATGTGTGTATATATAGTCTTGTAGAGTGTGGGCACAGACCCAAGTTAAATATAAGTATTGTAGAGTACGGGCCTACCAAACCTATATTAGAGTAAGAAGTTGTATATTGTATTTTTTGAAATAATGAGAAATAGAATAGCGTTTATAATTTGGATCATTTAAATATGAGAAATATTTTAAGAATGAGAGCGTTTTCTTAATAATTCAATATTAACTATTGGTTTTGTTCTTCCAAAATTTTTTTTTCAATTATATATTCTTACAAAAAGTTAATATTAAGTATAAAATATTATTTTTTGTATTACCAACACAATTTCCTATACCTCAAACCGAAAAAAAAAATTTAAAATTAAAATACTAAACAAACAAACCCAATTTATATTTTATATTATTGATATATTTTTTTTGTACCTAATGTTAGAGTTAGCAAAAATAGGCACGGTCCGTAAACTCGATCCAAACCCGACACAAAAAACTTTTTCTTAGGCCTAAAAATATAGGTCCGAAATTTCCGGGCTGTGTCCGAGCCTTTGAAGGTTGGGGCGTGTTTGGCCCGGTCCAATTTATTAAAGTTAATATGTAAAATTCAGGGGTTCAAATCCCGACGTCTTCAGGTCCACCTGCTACGCATAGTTCGCCTAGTGTTACTT